TGTCATTGTAGCTGGGATAATTTTACTTATTAAAGCTCATAATCTTACCTCTTGAAACATCACTAGCCCTGAAGCTGCTGGTAGACATCGTGGTTGGAATTATCAAAGGTTTTTGACACCTGAGAGACACCGTAGCACCTCCTTTGCGTTTGGAAGCGGGGGTGGGGGTGGGGGGAGGACCAGGGAGGATGATTCAACCACTCAACCACTAGATGTCTCTGAAAACAACTAATCCTGCACACTGTGCCTTTAAAATACGAAAAAAGTTTAAATCAAATCCTATTGGGTTTAAACTAGCACCAGGACACTATATATTCTGGTTTTAAATACTTAATTGCACTTTTTTGACTTCACCTMTGTAATTAAAATGAGAAGCAGATAAAAACATTTTATAAAATGTGATGTAAAGTGAAGTGAGTTCATGAACCACTCCCCGCTTGTTCAGAATGACGGGAAAAGCCTGAAGCTGCTGCAGCTGCTGAACTCATCATCATCTGAGTTCATCTGCACAGCGTTCTGTGACATCTCATCAGGTCAGGTTTAGACACTTTGCTTCGCCACACACACACACACTCTCTCTCTCACACACACACACACACACACACACATATGCACACACACACACTTTCACACACATGCACACAAAGACATGAATGAGCTACCTGCCACCAAATCCCCCACCTGCCTGAAAGCTTCTGCCAATAAAAAGGTGCACGACTTCATGAGCAAAAATAATAAACAGTCCAATTAATTTTAGCTGAGCCCCCCAAATTCCAGGGCTGAGTTTGCCAGGAATCTCTGCAGCATCAATTAAACGTCTGTTGCACAAAAGGAGGTCAGTGCAGCAGAGAGTCACATTTTCACTCATGATAATTGTGTTTATTATGCTCCATCCTTGGCTCCGAGCCTAATTAACTTCCCATCTTATCGTTTCAAAGGCAGTGCCTAAAAACTAATATTGACGAGGAGTGGAAAACTGCAGACCCTGCAACCCCAACCCCCCCCCCCCGCCTCTCTTCTTGGTGCTTCATATCTGTGTTTGAAGGGTTTGCTTGCTCCTGGTAATGCTTTAAACACACAGCCACATGAAATCTATGGACCTGGGCGTCCCCACACGGGTTGTAAACGCTCTTCTTTTTTTTTTCCTCAAAAAAGGCAGAGGAAGAGTTTGATTTTCTGTGGTAAACAAGTTGCCGTGTGTCCCAGCTCTGACAGGACGGCGCGTGTTCACACCACACCCTGTCAGTCAGCTGTCAGTGGGTTTAAGAACACACAATCATTAAAAAGCTTTAGGATCAGCTACAAATCACAGTTTTAAAAGGCAACATTCACTCCCACTGATCCATTACTTTTACAAAATGATTAAAAATGTGTTAAAATTCTATGGAAAGTCCTAAAWTCTACTTAAATGTCAACATGGGACTCAGTTAAAACTTAATATGGAAAATCAGGAGATGAATTTAAAAGATTAAAGCTTAATAAAGTGTCAAACTTTGCACCTGTCACCACCAACTTGTCTTGCATCCACTCTCAGATCTGCGCTACTAAGGCCAAAGTTCAGTCCAGCCCTCAGAATTAGGGTCACGCCAGACCCCCTGACTCACCCGTCCAGCTGAAGCTGAAGAAGGCAGAGCCACCAAAGACCGGACCCCTGGACTCTATCCCGTGGAAGCGCCTCGTCTCCAGCCTCCTCCAGTGACGCCAAAGAATTCCATCGAAGCGCTCGGGGGAGCAGGTTGGACTGAGACAGAGCCCGGGACAGAGGAGAGGAGAGGAGGAGAGGAGAGAGGGAGGAGAATGAGGAGACAGAGAGGGAGAGAGAGAAGGGAGGGAGGCGGTGTCCTGTTTCACTCTCTCCACTCCAGTCTCCCCCTCCTTCTGCTCCTCTTCCACCATAACTAGACAACAAACAGATCAATTCAACAAAACATCACAGAGGTGGATGTTAACACACACACACACACACACACACACACACACACACACACACACACACACACACACACACA